CAGACATAGTTTGGAATCCGAGAAAGGACATAGGATAGTTTTTTAACCAAAAATCTGCAGGAAGTCACTATTGCACGCGAAAACGCAAAGTCGGGGGCAAATGCTAGTAAAACATTTTGTTTAATTCATCATCATTGCTCTTCTATTGTGTCCCTAATTACCACAATTGAAAGGTTATAAGAATCTACATAGGTGAAGGTTTTAGTTTCATGTTTAAAGCCTATAAGCAGCCCAGCTTGGGTTACGTCATGAGGTGCCGCGGCTTCGGCCTGGAGTAGGAGAAGGAACGGGGGTTTTTAGTCAGTAAGAGTCTGACACTCCCTGTCGCCCAGGGTAAGGCTAGAGAAGTCATTTGATTTGATGATTTACTCCCTCACAAAAAAGCCAATAATAGGTCATTTCGCATAGGTACTCAATATAACAGTTAATTCCAAATACTCATCTATACTAATTTTATAAAGAGGTAAAATTTGTAAGTTTGTATGTAGGGGGTAATCTTTGGAACCGCTGGTCGAATTGCCAAAATTCTTTCACTGATAGATAGCTACAATGTTACTGACTGCTATATGTTATAAAACATCACGCTACGATCAAATGTAGCTAGTCACCTATATTCACTAAAAGATATACATTAAATTTTTGCTCAAATGTTGAAATTATTTTTTAAATATTAGAATTAGATTGGCATTTGGTCATTCTGTTTACTGAAATTTATCACATCTCATAATGTCTAAAAAGGATCGTATCCATTAGTGACTATAAACAATACTATCAACACCAACTCACAAATGGGATTGCAAGCTAAATAAAGTCGCAAAGGAGAATATTCAAACACGACAATAACTAATAACGTAATTAATAAAGAGAAATATAAAAGAGGAAGATTTTAAACAAATTGTAAATAACAAAGAGAAAGTTTTTATAAAAATAAAAGCTGTAAGGAGGAATGGTTCTGAGATGAAAATAACAGTCCCTTTCGTCAAGTTGCCAACTAATTCAATAAGACTCGGCTTCTGAGAATTCTTTCTATATTGTCGTGTGGTTCAAATCCAAGGATACCATCGGTTTTCTATGACGGATTTCTTAAGCTTTAGAGATTTATGATTTCTGCTTAGACTTTCAGATTATCAAATTTGTTACGCCATATACCTTACTATAATTTTAAGTACGGATGCACAAGAAGTTGCTCGTTTGAAGATTATAGTAGTAGGTAGTAACAACTTCCATTTTTTTCATAGAAACTTTTAAAGTCTGTCGACTTTATCTTCGAAACTGCTGAACCGAGTTTAATGAAACTTGTTACTCACAGGGAATATTTACCGGTCTTAAAAGTTAAATACAAAAATTGACGGTAAAATCTTCAAAAAAGCAGATATTGCAGATATTGAGATATCAGATATATAGATTATTTTATTTTGAATTTAAATAATCTTTGTCTGACTATCCAAACTCTTTCCGTGTCCCATAAACAAAACACGCAAAAATTCTAAACGCATTCCTAGTGCATTAAATTCAAATGAAACGTACTTCTTTCTTTTAAATTTCATCTCCGCTACATCTTATACCTTGTAGCAGTCAGTCACCCAGAATGATTACACAGAGATTTCGACAAACTCTTTGTTTTAAAAACTCACAATGCATTTGTTGGAAATCTACTTTAGCAGCTCAGATTGTAGTTTTAAGAAATAGAAAATTTATTGTGAGTGATACTTACGTTTATTCAGTTATTTTCTTTTGAGTTCACTGAAATTGATTTTCGTTAAGTGATAGATGAAATTCTGCAAACTACATATGAATTTCGAGCTACTTTTTTAATAGAAGCAAACTTAACGTTGGGGAAATGGATATAATATAGATGATTATCATTGCACCAATTCGATTTCAGTAGAATTAAATATTTGTTTTTAACAATGATTTAATTAAGTAGAATTATTTTTCCGTGAAATAAAAATAAATCCCTATTTTGCTTGGTTACAGCATCAAGCACTAGGCTGGACTGATTCCGACAACATGTTTACTGAATTTTTATTTTTTATTGTATAAGTCGGCAAACGAGTAGACGGATTACCTGATGGTAAGCAATCGGCGCCGCCCATGGATCGTGAGTACTCTAATATTATAAATGCGAAAGTAACTCTGTCTGTTTGTCTGTTTCTTCACGCCTAAACTACTAAACCGATTTCTGAATCGATTTCCACGCGAACAAAGTCGCGGGAAATAGCTAGTAAAATAATATTTTATGAAATTAGTTTCTCTTAAGCTGTTGTAAAAATTTGCTATCAAAACAAATTACTGACACCGAGGTTGTTGGACTTCTGTGCTTATACCAGGGAAGGGCCACTAGTCTATGATACTCGTAGTTAAGTAGATGGCTGGCAAACTTTGCTACACTATGTAGAAGTTATTTATATTTTCATAAGTGCATACTGCAAGATTAAAATTTTTTTAGTAGAAATTGGAGGCAGAGCAAACGCAGCTGCTTGTGGACAAGCAAACACTAAAGGGCTTAACAGATCATTGCCGCCTATTTAACCAAGGAGAAGTAAGTTTTTTCTTGAAGGTTTGAAGGTCGTAGTGGCCCGGATATTCTAACGGCGATAGTTCATTCCATTGTTTTACTATACTAAGAAAGTGTAATAAAAGAGAAAGTGAATTTGTTCGTACATACTAATTGAAATGAAGACAGATGGCGCTGGAGTCGTTTATGGACTGTTTTGTATCAAACCGCGCACAAAAGCAAGTCCAACATAAAACATATATAATTGTTAGACCGCATTCAGGGTTTCACAGAATACAATGAGCGTATGTTACGTATATTAGAAAAGTTTCGTTAGCACAGAGATAAATAATGGAGATAACATCGTGTTCACATATGCAGTTTCATATGAATTGGGCACTTCGTTTTATCACCAAAAGTTAACTAACTAAATTGGCTAACTTGCACTAGAATGCTCCCTGAATTGGTTTGAGTCACGCAAATGGTACATGGTGTAGTAAAACGGTAATTTGTGTGTGTGTGAGTGTTTTTTGATAATTACTTATCGTTAATAGTTCTTCAGGGTATGTGAAAGACATTAAAACTAAAAAAAAAAAAATTTGAGAAAACGAATTCTGGGGATTAGTGTATATTCTTATTTCGTACAAATCAAGAAGAAAAATGTATTTTTTTTATGTGATAGGACGGCAAACGAGCAGACGGATTACCTGATGGTAAGCAATCAGCGTCGCCCATGGACACCCACAACAAAGAAGGAGTGCGTTGCCGACCTTTTAGGGATTGGGATTTTGGGGAAATATTATTGCATGTACAATCGATTTAGCATAGAATGATCAATTGTGTCTATTTAAAAAGTACATATGAATGAAGTTTAAATTAAACATTTATCAAATTTAACTACTGAAAGCAGTTTGCTGATAACAAAAAACTAAACCTATTTCTGCGTATTCACTGATCCGACAACTTGAATGCAATAGTAATATGTATTCATTGATAGCATTAAAATGTTATACATAGTGATATTAATATTGTAATTATACTTTAAGAAAAGTGAAAAAATATAAATAAATATTCAGAGCTTTTTTAGACAAATTTATGCGGTTTCATGAGATTCACCTCCAATTAAAAAACAAAGTACAAGATCACCCATAGTTAATAGATCAGATCAGAAAATCAAGAACAACAACCATGAAGTACAGATACAAGTATTTAACAATGCAATCATTCCCTTTTATCTTTATGTATGAAAGTTAGAGGCGACACGTTTGCGGGGACGTGGCGGGGACGCGACGGGAACGCGACGTTATCTCGTAAATATATTGTGAATATTATATCTACGACACGGTTACACGTGGTCTACTTTCCTTCTTGCCTATTTAAGTGAGCAATATATTTATATGTTTTAGTTATTAATGTGTTACGTGGTTTAGATTCATGTATATGTACCTAGGCAACGTATGTTTTTTATGTGGTAAGACCTGAAGGTAAGCAATCTTCTTATAGACACTTGCAACCCTAAACGAGTGCGTTGTTGGCCCATTAGGTATAATTGCTTCGGATATTTAAGAATTGTAAAGGGATGCGGGCAGGGGCAGGTATTGGGCCTCCGGTAATCTCACTCACACGGCGAAATACAACAATACAACGGTGTGGTTGTTGCACACTGGTTTTCTGTAAGGCCCTGGTATCACTCCGGTCGAGCCGACCCATTCATGCCAAAGCTTGGCTATCTCACACACAAATACGCACTAAACGCTTTCATGTTGAGATATTTAGTGTTATTGGTGATATTGCAGATTTTGTTTTTTTTTCTGAGAGTTTAATTTTGATAGCTTTAATATATCGAGTTCGGTTCAGTAAAATATTTGTCAATCGTCCATACGGCCGAACCCCAAAACCAATACTCAACAATTCGGTCCGTAGAATTCCAATTTAAACTACCAATTTAAGTAACAATTTATTATTCACCACAATTTCAGAGCACCCCATTTTGTTTAAAATATTCCCGCCCCAACTGCCCTAACCGAACGACAAACATGCGTGGTTATAGACAAATGGAATCGGTCCTCTCTCTCTAAAGTATGGGGGAAGCATCTTGTATCCCTGTCTATTCTAATGATGGTCGCGTGAGAACATTAATGGCTGATCATTAAGTAATTTGACCGAGGGTCTGACTTTCTAGGGACAGAACTCTATGGTCCTTTTGATGCGGTTTGACCTCCTTCGAATGATAACTTGGATTTAAAGATCTGTAAGCGGTTTTGTGGTGATGTTATGATGGGGGACGGCAAAAACAGTTTATCATACATTTAGAAAGGTAGTAAGTATTTATTATGGATTTCATAGCATTTAAGTATTTATATAAGTATATAATTAGTAACTATCTAATCTGAAATCTTAAAAACTTAGTAAGTACTAAGTAGCACTATTAAAGGATGCAGTCTTGTTGGTATAAAAACTTTTGCAAGTGCCTGATGCCTGACTGTCTTAAAACTACACCTACCTTTGACATAAAGTACAGTAGGCTTCGAGAACTCAGTTCCAATAGAGTTCTCAGCGACGCACTCGAACTTGCCATGGTCCTCTTCCTCACTCTTCACTATTTGCAAAGTACCTGAAAGAGATAGAAACATATGTCAAAATTCCGAAACTTAGGAAAAGAGCAAAAAATAAATGCCTACAGGACTTTTTTGAAAAATGTCCAACTTCTTTTCATTTTTAGTTTTCGGCAAACTATACTACTATATAGCATAGAAAATAGCATTACATAAATCGTGGAACACTAAAACGTTGGCCTCGTACAAGGACATGGGTACATAAATATTGTAGCTAAATATTCTAACTGTGAGTCGGAGGGTCTCTGGAGGGATCAGCTGGTCGCACTCGCATGAGTGCTTTAAGATTTTCCCTCGAAGAGGTCGTGCCACCGAAATATTGTCTAATGTGCCTTTTTGAAGTAACGTTAGGCTTTTAGTTCGGTAAAAGAAAAAGTTTCGTAGCAATTTATTTCACGGTTGATAGATGTACCATGTATGTTTCGGCTGTTTTAATAACACAGTTTTTCCCTAAATCCGTATTTTAAATAGTTCAGTCGTATAAATGCTTCCAGTGTTTAGATTTCCGCTAATAAGAACAAAATCAAATGCCATTTTCACCAATCCGCTTCATAAAAGCATCACAATAAATCCCGTCAAAAATAGAAAGATAAGCATTCCCAAAATACCCCCGGAATCACAACAAAAAAACTCCCAACTACCCACTCAAAATTATTACAAAAACGCTTACAAGGAAATTACTCGGTAGACTGAGAGGGCGTCTTAAAAGGTATTTTATTCACACCAAGCTAAACATATACAGAGATTTATGGCCTAATAACAGCAGAGAGGGGGAGGGAGAGGGAGCCATTAGGGACTGGCCAGAGGTCCCGGCACTCTTGGGGGCCTTTATAGTGTTTCATAGAGGTTATTAAGGTTATTAAGTCGAATTCCGATGTAAAACACCTGTTTGCGGTGCTTACTATCGTTCATTAAAATTTTCCGAGTAAATTATTGTGGAGTGGACGGTCTTGGTTAAGTTGGGGAATTATTTAGACATTGTTGCCTACATATGCCTTTTTGCTGGCGATCCTTATGGGACTATTATGGGAATATTATACTACTAATAGTTTTAGGTCTTTTTTGCAAATCCCTCAAAATGTCTGCCAGCCCCTGACATAGAAATATTGATTCGATTCGAGCTTGAACTTTGATATACAAGTAAATGTTAACCTTTCTTCTAACACAATAGAAGAATAATGTGGCAATCTATCTGCTTGGATGATCTGCCGAAACAGCAAAGGAATACCGGCTATATTTTGAATGATTTAAGGCACCATTTCTGTTAACAGTAGATGTGGCTCCAATGGAATACAAAACGAAGTTCCTTTGATGTCAGTATGTCAAAACTTTGAAGTCGACTGAAGTCGGGCATGAAGTTAGTTAAACATATTTTTATCTGACTATGGTTGGAGCAGAGGATAAAGTTGTATTTAGAAAAGTTTTTACTTTTAGTGTATAAACAAGGTTTTACTATTTCTCTTACTTTATGTATGGTGGGATTTTGAAATCCATTTTTGGTGTGCCAACTAATTATACGGTATTTCAAAGGATATGTTTAATATAGATATCTAGGTCTCTATGAGTTCTGAAATACAAGAATTGTACCCATCTAGTAGATCTGTTAAGTCCTATAGTTCATAGAGCTTTAAATATATTTGCTATCCCATTAGTATCTGAACTAGCTCCGTGGTTTTAGATGCTCAGACGCGATTAGTTCGTAGTTTTATCCAAATTAAAGAAACGTTTTCATTTCAAATAAGTAATAAACAGCTTAAAGAAAAATTAGTTGTTAAACTCCAGTGCAAAGAATAATTAGATTACTTTATTTCATTCGGTTTTCTTTACATTTCCATTCATAATCGCGTCTAAAGCAAGGCGCATTTTAACATTTCCCAACGGGCGCATTTTGAGCGTCATGAAAATGCAAAACTCCTTTTTTTTCGTATGCACTGTACTAAAAGAGGGCAACGGAAAACTGCCGAAAAACTGTTAGGGCATGAAAAAAGGAAATGTAAACGACCAGACTCTCACAAAGAAAATGTAATTACGATGAAACATGTTGGCACAAGGTCGTACGTGTTCTAGACGCCATAGTTTCGACAAATGCTGTATGAAGTTGGGACGTGTGATAACTACCCTCGAATTACTATGAAGGGTTGTGCTTTGAAGTTAGCTCGTTGTTACTAAGTTGAGGAGAACTGCTAAATTGTATTGTACAAGTTATAAAAACGTTATATGTTACAATAGTAGTAAATGTTAATCTTGTATCTATTTAAACTGTACTGTATAATTTGTAATCAAAAATAGATTTGTACATTGAAATGATGAGAAACAACGACATTTTGAGACGAGAAAATGAAAATCATAACCGAACCTGTCAGTCCCATGTTGGGCGCCAAAATCCTGGGGAATCCCAGGACGTTGTGTCCGGTAATGAAATAAAACTAGCCGCCAGATCCCTACGTGGCGGGATTTGGGGATTTCGTGACAGCCGACGATTGCTTGGCCAGCAACTGACGAAGGTCTTTCGTTTCTTGAATTTGAGACAATCGCGCTTATTGGTTACTATTTGCGGCGGCCATCTTGATGTCAATCGTTATGAGCTTTTGTTATTAGTTGTGTCGCTGTTGCTATGTGTGAACGCGTAGGCTTTTTCAAGAACAATCACGGGAATATGATAGGGCAGTCGTAAAAATATATTGATATTGTGATGTTCTGATGTTATTTCTTGTTTTCGGGGCGAGAAAATCTAATAATTGTACGAATTGATACAGATTTGATGTTTCCTTTAAAGATATTTTGCTGTATAATATTAGAGTGTCTTGTTACGCGAAATAATTGAAGGAAAATTATTAGCATTATGTTATACAGATTAGCAACTGACCTCAATTACAAATTCCATATTACCTTTTAAGATACCGAATCAAAATTGTAATAATCATTAGCTTATTATTGCCCATTGCTGGGCAAAGACATCATTTCACATGGAGACAGTTTGAGTATTAATCACTACAGTAGCTTAAGGTTGTGGTGAACAGACTGACAGACTACTTTTCTATTTTGTCACCTTATAATAATCACAACCAATCAACTAAAAACTGCGATTGCTTCTAACAAGGATACTTTTTTACAAATGAAATAAACGATGACTTTGAAAAACTATCACTTTTTAAATAATAAATCATGATAAAGGAATACACAGTAAGGTTTACACGTTGGTAACAAGACTCCATGGTGACAGCTATGGGAAAGGTATGGGTCAGGCGCACCTGTTTGTGAAGTGGCCTGTAAGATTCGAGTGTGGAACCTTTTTGGATATTTTCCTTTTTTAAATGACGCATTTTGTAGAGAATAGTATTTTACGGGTCCGAGTAGTTTTTTTGTTATTGTTTAGGAACGATTTTATATATGATGAGTTTATGAGAATGATATCATAAAAAAACGAATTTAATACAGTAAAAAAGTATATAATAGTGACAAATTTGTATTTGAAGAAGAAGGTGTTATGATGTAGAAAAATTCAGGACGCTAGATTGTTAAAAAAATATTCGTCTAACTATTATCAGCAAAGGCAAAATTTACAAAAAAAAACTGTGACCTTATTTTTCCAGTTTTCCTTCTAGGAAGAAAATTAGCTAATGATAAAATTGCTTAAAAGTGAAGAGATAATTTTGTTTAAGAGCTTTAGTGAAAGAGTAACCGATACTGTTGATAAGGCGAAAGTGAATCCCTTTGAGAGTGTTGAATGAAACTCAACGAAATAAAAAAAGAAAGATGGCTCGCTCTACCGAGGCTTCGGTACCGATAGCTTTCTGCTTTATATCTTAGTGTGTGGTGTAAGATTGGAAGCAAAATACATTTATTAATAGAAATTTTCAAAAATAATTATTATTATAATTTTCAAAATTTTTATTTAATGCAAAATTTATTAACTTTTCATTCTCTTTCAAATGGCTTTTCTCCAATTAGTTTTATGGACGCAATGCCATCTTTACCTTTGGTTGGATGTCTGTATTTACAAAGAGTTGCTACCTTCCCTTTATCACTAACTAAGGAGGATAGACACGTGTTCATAATTCTTTCACTTATGATGAGAATATGTTGCGAATTTCAGTTGCTGTATTTTTTAAATGATCCTACAAACATTATTACATAAAATTTTCCTAAAGTTTAAAATAGGAATTATTTTATTTTTTCTTTAAGTTTGTTTTATCTTTACTAAGGCAGAAAATGGAAACGGAAAAAGGAAGTTTTTTTTTGTTTTTGCTTCCCATTTTTTTTTCTATAGCTAGGTATGTTCATTTATTTAAATATCAGCAATCTGGGTCCGTGTCTGATGTTGTTTAATTACAATATCATGCTGCAGAAGGCTGGCTGGTCGGTCATTAAAAGTGGAAAGTTGGTGAATGCGGTCCATCAAAGTTCACAGAGCAAGTGAATAAAGGGGCGAAGACGGAACAACTTCACAACAACGTCAGAAATTAATTTTTCATAACTTTTACATCAAAAAGGTTGCAGAAAAAAAAACAACGAAATTCCATCCGTTTATTAACTAAGTAGATAGTATCTTTATATCTGATAACCATTTTGTATATCTAGAGAGTGTTGTGGCCTACATAGTGAAATGGATTGCATTACAAATTCATTACAAATTCTTTTGTTCATAATTTCTTTAAAAAATTCGATTGTGAACTTTACAATTTTGTCACAAAGTTGAAAGTCTATTAAGATGTAACATAGCTTGATGTGCTAGTAGCTGATAATCGTATCTGTGAACACTAGGTGATAATTTCTGTACATAGGCAAGTTATTAAAGAACATCAGTGCACGATATACGTGTATATATAACCTCTATTCTACTTTCGCTGTGCAAAATACAAAAAAAGACAAAAAGCCACAGCAACTATTAGATTCAATATAAACAGGCATTTTTTATATACTAGAAAATAGGAATCGTATTCGACCCAATACCCTAGTATATTACTAATGATGTATATTCTACGATAATTAATATTAT